CAGAAGTGATTGATGTTTTCTACTCCAAAAAAAAACTTCCGCCAAACTTAGGACAAACAAACTAGGGCCTGAGACGTTAAATACCGATAGAATGTGTTTTGGTTTTCACCAGCGACCCCAAACCCCAGAAGTGACTGATGTTTTCTACTGAAAAGAAACCTTGGCAAAGCATGGGGAAAGAACAAGGGCCTGAGACGTTATAGGTACCGGTAGAATGTGTTTTGGTTTTTCAAAAGCACCGGAAACAAGGTAACATGTTTTTCACCGTGAAACGAGAGACTATGTAACATGCCTTTTCCCCCTCTAGGTAACATTGGCAATCCCACAGTCCTTGACCCCCTCTAAGTAACATTGGTCAACTAGGTAACATGTTGTCGCCATCAAACCAAGAGCCAAAGCAAGACTAGGTAACATGCCTCTTCCCCCTCTAGGTAACATTTTGGCAATGTCGCAGTCCTTCACCCCCTCTAAGTAACATTGGCCGACTACATGTCTTGCCCCTCTAAGTAACATTGCTCGCCTTGCAACTAGGTAACATGCCAGTCTGGACATGCAGCATGCAGCAGAGTGCGAGAGTGAAATTGTGGTCCCCGGCAGACCGGCTCCACAGAGTAGAGAAGCAGAAGCACTCTTGAGAGCAGACACTCTGTGAGCAGCCACACAGCACGACGGCACAGCTTAGAGGCACAGCCACAACACACACGTGCACACACACACAGCACACAGCACAGAGCACACAGCACACAGCAAGCACAGCGCAGAGCAAACACAGCACAGACAGCACAGACAAGACAACACAAGAAACAAAGCCATGAGCACTACTGGCTTGTGGCTGGGCGGGCTGCCATGGTGGACAACAACCGCCGGCCTGCTAGAATGGCTAGACAAGGCTGGGGCTCCTCGTCCGCAAAACGCACAGTGGCTGCCGACACGTGCTGCTGAAGCTACCCTGTCTGCCGTGGTACTACACTACAACACCACGGCAGCACGGGACACAGCTTTGGAGCTGGTCCCCCTTAGCTACAAGGGACACAGAGTGTCGCGAAAACAGCAGCGGCCACAACCCAAAGCAGCAGCAGCACAGCAGCCGGCAGCAGCAGCACAGCAACCGCAGCAGCAGCGGCAGCCTGCAGCTGCAGAGCAGCGGCAGCCTGCAACAGCAGAGCAGCCGCAGCACCAGGTGCCTGCAGCAACAGCACAGCAACCGCAGCAGTACCAGGAGCCTGCAGCAGCAGCAGCAGCAGCAGCAGAGCAGCAGCACCAGGAGCCTGCAGGACTGACACCTAAGGCAAAGCCACCGTGGCGAGAGGCGATCCCACTGGTGCAAGGGCTGCCGAGGCCTTTTGGGGACAGGGCCTGGCGAGCCCAATGATGGAGAGGCCTTTTCTGGGACAGGGCCTGGCGAGCCCAATGATGGAGAGGCCTTTTCTGGGACAGGGCCTGGCCAGCCCAATGATGGGCCTGCCGAGCCCAGTGATGCAGAGGCCTTTTCTGGGACAGGGCCTGGCCAGCCCAATGATGGGCCTGGCGAGCCCAGTGATGCAGAGGCCTTTTCTGGGACAGGGCCTGGCCAGCCCAATGATGGGCCTGGCGAGCCCAGTGATGCAGAGGCCTTTTCTTGGACATGGCCTGAGGAAAACCCAAGCCCAACACGAGCCGAACCAGCACAAAAATTAAACAAAATAACACCATTACAGGGAGTCGTCGGGAGTCGTCGGGTACCACCTCCCCTGGGTTTCACGTGAATGAGACGAGTCCAACGGCAGAGTCAAGCCGTTGGACTCACCTGTGCCAGACGAAAACCGACGACATCACATCCCCAAAACACCAAACCGACACAAAAGTGACACACAACTGACACAAAAGTGACACAAAAGTGACACAAAAGTGACACTAAACTGACACTAAAGTGACACAAAACTGACACTAAACTGACACTAAACTAACAGTTCAAAGGCAAAACTAACACAAAACTAACACAACCGATATGTACTATTGTTAGTTTGGTAAAACTAACCCATGGAATTGTTACTTAAGTGTTACTTTTGCTGTGGGAGTGTTACTTTAGTGTCACTTTAGTGTCACTTTTGTGTCACTTTTGTGTCACTTTTGTGTCAGTTTTGTGTCACTCTTGTGTGAGTTTGCTATCCCTGGAGCTTTTTCTGTGCTGTTTTCTTCCTGCTGCCCTTGATTCGTCTGGTTTCCGGCCTGTGATTTCTGGTGTTTCGAAACCGATCCGAGGACTTTCGCCTGGAAAAGAGAACTGTGCATCAGAGTTTTCCAATAATCTGGAATATCGTGCTCAAAACCATAACTAGGTGAAATCTTGCTTCGGCTTTCGAGCTATGGTGCTGAATACAAAACTAGGTAACATGCTCCTGTCAACATAGGCAGCTTGCTGCTGGCCCGACAAGAGGCAACATGGTCTCTAATGTTTCTAAGTAACAGTGCACGAGGAAACTTAGTCTTAAGTAACAGTGTGCAGGCAAACCTAGGTAACATGTTACTTAGAGAGCTGTGTATGTAACATGTACTGCTGTTGTCTAGTTCCACCCGTTGTGGTCGTTGACAAATCTGCACCCCGATCCGTGCTCGAATTCAAAAAGGCTAGTGGTGATTGGGAGTATGAAGTCCCGGGCACATGTCGTGACATGCTAAAACACCAGATTTTCATGCATGATGAGAAGAAGACTTTCCGAGAAGACTGATCCAGCCATGGCTGTTAAGGGTAGTGGTTCCCTGAAGAGAAAGGCAGCTCAGCTTGACCTCGACGGCGAACCGTTGACGGAAGCAGAGGCCGCCCCAGAACAGGAGCAGGAGGCACAGGAGAAGGAGGAGCAGAAGAGCCCCAAGCCAAAGAGCCCAGCCAAGCCCAAGAGCAAGAGCAAGCCGAGCAAGCCGCAGACCTCCCCCAAAGCAAAGGCGAAGGCAAAGGCCAAACCAAAAGCAAAAGCCGAGAGCAAGCCCCCAGCAAAAACACCCAAGGCCAAGAGCACAGCCAAAGCTACCCCCCAGCCGAAGGCCAAGAAAACTAAGCCGGGGAAGCAGCTCAAGGAGGGGGACAACAACAACAAGAACGTGACCAGACAGGAAAGCTTCGCTGACAAGGCTTTGCAGTGGAAGCTTGCAGCCGAGGACAAAGCCGAGGCCCAGGAGAAGCCTAAGGAGGAGCCCGAGGCAGAGGAGCAGGACGGCGACGAGGAGGACGACCAGGGCGGCGAAAAGAGGGACCTCGCCAAGGCCAGGAAATTCAAGAGAATGTCCGATGCCGGTGCAATCCCTGAGGGTTGGCGAGGCAAAGGTCCCGGGCCCTCGCAAGCCGCGAGTTCCCCGCTCTGGCTCCCTTTTCGACGTCGAGCTCATTGAACAGGGCACTTGAAGGTGCGAGAGCAGATCTGGCAGGTCTTTATTGGGTGGTTGCGGGAGAACATCACTGAAGAAGCCATCCTGGCGTTGTTTCGCTGCCCGCCGCTCCTCGCACTTATCATGCGAGACTACGGCGACGTCCTTTATAAGACTGGTTTCCCTTTGGGATCGTACAGGCAACTGCTGGCTCACGCGCAGAAGATTTTTCCTCTGCTGCTGAGCGTGGCCTGGAATATGGTGTCGAGGTGGGAGGAACTGCAGCCGGTGTCCCACCGGACGCCAATGCCAGAGGCCCTCTTCAAGGCTATGGTTGGCCTCTCCTATATGCTGGGATGGGAACGCTGGACAGCCGCCACCTTCGCCATCTTCTTCTTCGTGTCAAGGCCAGGGGAGGTTCTCCGAGGCCTCCGGCGGCACCTCCTGACTCCAGCTGATGCTTTGGAACCCTTTCACAGGTGGCTTTACCTCCGAATTACGAGCCCAAAGAGCCGCCGCCGAGCTGCCAGGATCCAGCACGTCATGCTCGATGACCTTACAGCTATGGAGCTCCTTTTGGCTTGCTGGGAAAAGCTTCCAGGCTCTGCCCTTCTGTATCCAGGCAGCCCTTCGGCATACCGGCGGCGCTGGGACAAGATTTTACGGATGCTAGGCGTCCCCGCCACTGCTGGGATTACTCCGGCGTCTCTCCGAGCAGGAGGCGCAATAGCGGCTTTCCAACGGGGCGTACCAGTCCCTGACCTGATGTGGCGGATGCGGCTCCGGTCTCAGATCACCTTGGAGCATTACCTCCAGGAGATGACGGGTTTTTCTTTGCTACCTGCGCTGCCGGAAGCTCGCGACGCCGCATTCGACTGGGTGCCCTGCTGTATCGGTCCCTGGAGAAACAGGCCATCCAAAGGAGAGCAGCGCGCTACGCGGCCGCAGGTGGAGTGGAGGCTGCAGCTCAAGATGAGCCTGCATTCCGTTTTGCCAACACTTAGTGCAGCGGCTGGGGAAAAGGACGGGCGACGGATAAGCATGTCTTCCACATGCTTTCTGAGCCTCTCTTTGGAGTTTTCGGGTCCCTCCCCCCCACCCAGGGAGGAGGCTGCAGCTCAAGATGAGCTTGCATTCCGTTTTGCCAACACTTAGTGCAGCGGCTGGGGAAAAGGACGGGCGACGGATAAGCATGATACGTTCGTCAAGTTGCTATGTATACGTTTGCATGTTTATACGTGACCACATCACTTGTGATTTTCACTTTATTTCCAATTTCACAACGATTGTTGTCTCGTTGAGAAACGATCGTGCATGAACACTTCGGGCGGTTTTTGGGAAACTCTTTTGAACCTGATTTTTAACGATTGAGTTTTTCATGAACTTCGTTCTTTGATGATCAGTTGCTAACATGTCTCCCGCGCACGCTCCTTCAAGCACATGAGTGCAAATTTTTGTGTTGAGCCTTGGGGCCCCTGCGTGAGTGCGGTCTCGACGTGCGTCGGTGCTCCCGGCAGTGGTGGCAGTTCCGGGTCCGTCCCGGGCTGCGAGTCGGAGTGAGATACACCGGACACCCGAGGCCGCCACTCCGCAACACGTTGCATCTAGAAAGGTTCTGGGTGCTAACCGTGGGGTTCTGGACATAGTTTCCTCGGCTCATGTCGGACCCCGCTCGGGCAACTGCAGAGGACAATCTGGCGGGCGAACTGGCTGGCCCAGGGACCGTGCTGTCTTTTGCTTCGCCTGTGGCCGGGTTTATCTCTGACGTATTTCCGACAAGTGCGACTACACGCAGCCACGTTTCGTCGGAGAGCGATTGTGATGCTCACCGGCTGGTTGACCGGTTTCCTGCGGCTGGCTCCGCGCTGGACTACGTGGATGACTCTGCGGATGGGCGGGCTGTAGCCGATGCTGCCCTTTGGGCCCGCCTCCAGAGGCTCGAGCAGGAGCGGCGGTCATTTCCTTGGAGCTCCGCCTCTGAGCAGCAGGGCTGGATCCGCGTGGTGCGGAATGGCGTGGAAGAGTCCGTGGTCTCCTGGTCTGGCCGTGATACTATGACGGCTCTCACCAATGCGGCGGCTCAGACTTGTGGGTCCCCTTTTGATGCTTGGCAGGTCGAGGAGATCGAGATGCGGCTCCGTTCCTGTGGCACGCGTGCTTCTTTCGAAAGCACCATTGAGGATGCCATGGCCGACAATATGTCTCGTGCTCTTCGACTTCTGCGTTCCGGTCGCTTTGGACGGCGTGTGGCCGCCTCTCGACGGCGGCGCTAATGGTGTTACGCTGCCTTTACCCGGCGTGGCTGCCGTGGTCTTTTGGACTACCCGACGCTGAATGACTTCGCCTTGGGCTGGCACCTTCGGCTGCTATGGAGGCTTTATTTTGTGGCCGATCGTCCTCCTGGAACGGTGATGGTCGACTAAACTTCCAGGCCTCCGCTTCTGTAAAATGTGTTCTTCCGTGACATGCACTCAGTTGAGCCTGCACTCATTGTCCTGCCTCATGAGTGATTTGCCGAAGCTGTCATGACAATTTTCTTGTTGCTCGCGCGCCTGCCCAGATGCATCCCTAACAGATGTTCATGTGGCGGGCATGCTAGGACAATTCGGCGTACTGAGGAGCTTATCAACCGGTGCTCTTTTCCAGGCTAAGTGCCGTGCTGCACTTCACATAACCTACGTCACGATTTGGGCGTGCCTTTTGTGCTAGGTTTGTCGCTGCGCATGTCCGATAGCCCTCAGCGTGACACGACTGCTCTGCTGGAAGATATCGAGCCTTCTCTTCAGGGGCTGCTTTGCATTCCGGCAGCGGTTGCCTCTGTGGGCGACTGCCTCTGTGCAGTCGATCGGCATTCGCTTGAGCTGATCTGCTGGTGGTGGCACGCTGACCTCAGGTGGCACTTGCGTGAGTGGTCACCCGTGGATTCGGCCGTTGCCTCTCAAGCTTCGGCGACACAGAGTCCTCGGCCCGCTGGATAGTGTGGCTCCGTGACCTGGGGTCGCCCTCTTGTGTCGCGCTCTTGCTGTGGGTGCGATACGGGAGCGCTCATGTCTCATTTCGACTTCAAGACTCTGCTTGCTTCTGCCGTTGACTCATGCTCGGAAGCCACTCCTAGGGATAAGCTGCTTCCGTGGGAGTCTGGAGTGTTCAAGCAGATCTTCGAAGGGGAGGATCCTTTGTCTTGGAAGGACAGGTTCGATCTGCCGGACCCACCGGGGTGGGATCATGGCGACGAGGAAACTCTGCTTCCAGCCGAGAAGAAACGCAAGGTATTGGATGCTGATTTCTCGCAAGGCATTTGCTTTACTGTTGTTCGCAAGACTGAAGGATTGAGCTGGGAGGATCAACGGCAACAGGATTCTGACAAGGCTATTGCTAGATGGATTTTCATCATTGTGAAGTGGTCTGAGACGTGTCCTGATTTGTTGGTATGCCAAAGTCTGGATGAATGCACCGAGAAAGATCAAAGGATCAACGTGGTCCAGGATTGGCTGCATCCCAAGGCGCCGAGCACTTTGTTGAAGAGAGCCAATTCTATTATGGGATATCACAAGGTTGTTGGCTGGGGCGACGGGACTTTTCCTTATCGTGAGCAAGATGTGTACCGATACATGTCCGATGCTAAGGCCGGTGGGGCGAAACCATCACAGCTGAAAGCTCTGCGAGAGGCTATAATCTTCGTGCGGCATGTTTTCATGGTCCCCCAGCTAGACCGGGTGATTGAAAGTCGTCGCTGTCTGGGGGCGTCGCAGAGGGGAACTGTGAAGCGTGGCAAGAAGAGGGCTCATCCGTTCTCCATTCTGGAATTGAAGAAGCTCCACCATTTGCTTGCGGACAAGGATGTTCCAGCTTGGGACCGCACCTTCGCAGGAGCAGTTCTCTGTTGCACTTACATGAGATCGCGTTGGGGGGACTTCCAACATGCAGTCAGCTTTGATATCGAGATGAACGGCCAGGGGGACATCATTTTCTTGGTGTACACTGTTGAGGTGTATAAGACAGTGAATTCCAAGTACTTTGCTGGCGAGCCTGTTAGGTTCATCGCTCCTGGAGTTGGGATTCTCAGTGACAACTGGCTGCACTTGTGGAAACAGGCTCGTGCGGAGGTCGGACTGTTTACATTCCTGCCGCCGCTGCCTACGCCCAATGCTGCTGGCGAGGCCATGGGGTGTTCGGTCTCTTCTAAAGAGATCACTGCTTGGATCCAGAAGGTCTTGGGGCGCGACAATAACAAAAACACAACAGGACACCTCATGAAGCGCACCTTCTTGACCATGGCTGCAAAGCGTGGCGTTGAGCACCTTGATCGGCTAACCATGGGTGGTCACGCCAACTCGGCAAAGATGGCCGACACTTATGGTGATGACGAGCTGGCGCGGCCACTAAGGTTGCTCCTGGCGCTCTTGGAGGAAATCCGCGAAGGTGTCTTCGACCCGGACGCTGGACGTGCGGGGTACATCTTCGGTGCCGGCCTGCGTGAACGCCGGCTGACGGCGGATAGGATGGAGGTCCGCGACCCTGCAGCCGCAGGTGCCTTCGCAGCTGACGCGGGGTCCGAGGCCACAGATGGTAACTGCCCTGCTGATCAGTCTGGCAATAGCAAGGACAGCTTAACCGAGCAAGATGCGGCCTCGTGGGACCTTCCGCCCCCTGAGCGGTTCACTGACGATGATTGGAGAGACTTGGGCATCTCTCCTCCAAGCCCAGAGCATGCTGCCGCCAACGAGGAGCCGGAGGCGCCCGACATTGGCGATTTGCCGGTACACCCGTGGGACAACTTGATCGAGGAACCTAATGGGAATGCTTCCGAGACGGACTCTTCCAGTTCAAGCTGTTCAGATGAGTCGTCTTCTTCATCTTCAAGGATCAGTCACGAACCTGAGCGCAAGGTGGGTGTACCGAAGCCCGCCCTAGGCACATCTTTCCTGCAACACAAGCGGACTCGGCTTTTGCACTTGATTTCCGATCAAAATCGGAAGGTTTTGCTGTGCGGCCGCATGGTTGGTGACACATACAAGCCACCAATTAAAATTCGATTTGACTCTTCAGTTTGCCGGAACTGCAAGAAGTTCGCGGCAGATCTGTGAAACGTGCCTCTCCGAAAGACTCAAGTACTCTTCGTGTGTGCATGCTTGCACTGCCGGTGTTACTGTCGTGGAAGCCTCTCCGCTTGAGTGTTTTGTGACTCAGACACAGGGCATCATGTCGCTAGTGGATTCGGAAGCTGCCTTCACCCAGCGATGCCAGGAGGTGAATGCGGGAACCATTCACACAGCCTTGCGTGACAATGGTGTCACGACCTTCGCTAGTCTGGCTTATGCATGCGGCACACCTCAGGATCGCCCTACGCAGACCGAGCTGGATGCGTTCAGTACTAGGATTCTCGGAGCTGCACCTCGCTTGGGCGACGTCTCGCTCTTGAAGCGACTCATCTTCGAATCATGCACCTTTGTGATCGCACAGTTACGCCAGAATGTTCAAGGCGATGCTTCTGAGACCCCTAAAAAACTCCCCTTGGCTGAAAAAGCAGCTAGAGCGGCCGATCAGAAACGCCGCTTGGCGGGGGTCCACATAGAGAGGGACTCTGTTCCATCTTATGCCTTGGTGGATTTGTGCTTCCATATGATCGAGGTCGGGGTGACATGGATCAGCCCAGGCCGCTGCACGAGTCGCGAAAGCGAGATCCAACTCTCGACCCGCGATCAAACCAAGGTGTTTAAGCTGGAGGATAACAGCTTGAAAGTCGGAAACGAGGGCCCTGATGATGTGGCCTGCTTCGACTCTCCCATACGGCTTCAGTGGTGTCTTCAAAGGAGAGGCCTTGCACTTGATCAAGCTCGCTTAATGTCTTGGCAACAACATGAGAGGTGGGTGCATTGCCTCCTCCACGCACTCACGCGCGAGTGCCCTTCAGGGTTCCACAAGCCGGATATGAACCGGATTGTGCAAGCCGACCGGGAGGCATGGCTCATTCTTGCATCGGAGGTGCCGAGTCTCAAGGTTACAGCCGCCGGTGAGTTTCCGCTTGGTGTTGCACTCGAGGCCCTCCGCACCGACCCACGAATCACCATGTATCTTATGCCGACTTGGGGCCGGCAGCCTGACGTCAAGATGCCTCTGGATGTCCCGTCCCCACCAAAGGACGGCGAGGGTTTGTCTCGCTCGGCAAAACGTCGGAGGCGCTTGAAGGCGGCGGCGGCACGGAATGCCACGCCGCCTGGAAAGTCGACTTCGACCCCAAAAGGGGCACGTGCCATGCCTGCAGAGTTGAAGGGCACGCACCAGAAAACCGAAGATGGCAAGCTCATTTGTTGGGATCACAACTGCGGCGGCTGCAAGCTCAAGACTGACGGTGATCCCCCAGCGTGCCAGCATGGTGTTCATGTGTGTGCCTTCTGTCGTAGGGCGGGTCACTCCTTTCGCAATTGCCGTGCTCGCAATTGGAAGGGCACTGGTAAAGGCAAAACCAAGGAGTGACTAGTCGTTGCAACCTCCGGCCAGGTTGAGGCTGGAAGGATCACTGGCCAGAATGACGACGGGCTGGGATACACTTTTTCTCCGGTGCCGGTGACAGCACAGGACCTTTCTTCTGCTGAATCGCTGGCCGCCCAGTGCCTGAATCTTGGCTTTGCAAGTTTTGCACAGCTTCGCGAGCTCAGTGCTCGCTTGCCGGCGGACTCTGTGGGGGCACCTTCAGGCCAACCTGTTGCTCCTGCGGATCCCAAATCTTTTACTTCTGGAGCCTACGTGCACCACGACAAGAACGGGCTCCGATCCAATTGTTTTGCATTTCCTTTTTCCACACAACTGCTTGCACGCATATTGTCGGCTGAGTTTCCTGATGCCTGTTTTTCTTCAGTGGGCCTATTCTTCAACTTGAAGGCGCCGCTTCATTCGGATCGCAATAATGATCATCGACACGCCAACCTGTTGCTGCCAGCCTCGCATTTTTCAGATGGTCAGGTTTGGGTGGAAGGTCGCGGGAAGCATCCGTGTCCTGACCTCTCCGCCAAACGCCTGGGTTACCTGCTTGATGTGGCTTCTGGCCCGCAACAGCTGCCCTCAGAGCGTCTTCACAGTACATGCCCCTGGACAGGGGACCGCCTGCTCGTGGTGGGTTTCTGCGTTCGTGATACACAGCGACTCTGTGAACGGGACTGCCACTGGCTGCGGGACTCTGGTTTTCCACTGCCCGGCCCTCCCCAAGATCATGCGGCCGCTCCTCGCCAGGTCACTTCAACGACTTCTTCGCCCTCTTTGTCTACCTCTGCGA